CCATAGAGGTAAAGATGGAAATATGTCAGACTCTTTACTATAGCAAGGAGTTCCCTCCGGGTTACACAGAAGTTCTTCTCTGGTCTACTCAGGACTGTACTGAAGTAGGCCACCACATGTTCGTTTTGCCCACTTTCTGAGACATCACTCCTCCAATTCCAACATTACTACCATCACAATCCAGTATGTATGGCAGTGAGGGATTTGGAAGCTTTAAAAGTGGAGTTGAGGTCAATTGTATTTTCAGTATTTGAAAGCATGCTGGGAAGGAACTGTCCATTCGAACTTCTGGCCTGTTTTTTGTCAAATCATGTAGTGGAGCAACTATAGTTGCAAAGTCCTTCACAAACTTCCAGTAATAGGTACAGAGTCCCAAGAAACTTCTGAACTCTCCCACTTTGTCTGGTATTGGCCAATCACGCACTGCTTTCACCTTGTTAGGATCACTTTGCACACCATGCTCACTTACAATGTGACCCAAGTAAAGCACCTCTTTCTGGAACAAGTGGCATTTCTTGGGATAAAGTTTGAGGTTTGCTGCTTTCAAACGCTTGAATACTTCCTCTAGCCGGGACATTTCCTCGTCAAAAGTTGTTGCAAATACGATGACATCGTCCAGGTACACTAGGGCTATCCTCCATTGTAGGCCTTCCAGTACTCTTTCCATCAGCCTCTCAAATGTTGCTGAAGCATTGCTAAGACCGAATGGCATCACAAGGTATTGCCAGAGACCTTGGCCATAACTAAATGCAGTCTTAGGTTTATCTGCTTCATCCATTTTCACTTGATGGAAACCCGACTTTAAGTCCAGAGTTGAAAACCACCTGGCTCCACTTAGGGCATCAAGAGTATCATCAATTCTTGGCAGTGGGTATGAGTCTTTTTCGGTTATAGTGTCTGCATACTTCGCCAAAGTTCCTTAACCTGAAGAGTCTGTGATGATGACAAATGGACTATGCTCTTCTTATAGAGGTCAGTTAAATGTTCTGGAAGTGTATGTCCTTTCTTTATGGTCGTATTTCTTGCTTTAACATTGACTGACTCTACCTCCTGGCACACACCCAACAATGTTCCTTCCTTAAGTGTCCAATCTTCATATCTGCTGGCATGGATGGGTCTTCCACTGCTTCCACAAGCATTGGGCTTCCTTGGGGATGTTCTTTTATTCTACCCCAAATTATCTTCTTTGACATAGGGGGTATTGTAGTTGACTTAAGTGCTGTGACATGCAAATCAACAGATGCAGCAACACTTACTGGAATTTGGCCTTTGTTGTTCCCAATCGTCAGTTTATCGAAGTTAACTACACACTTCTTCGGTTGTAAGTAGTCCAACCCTAATATGCATTGGTCTTCAATGTCAGCCAAGTATACTTTGTGTCTGTTCTTTATGCCCATGAGCTCAATAGTTAGCCACACTGGTCCCCACAACCTTGCATAATGTCCTGTCACACCACAGAGCTTCTGTTTTGCTTCTGGTACTCCTTTGTGATCCAGCACCTTGATACTCACAAGGGTTTGCTGAGATGCATAATCTATGACAAAGTTGCACTTTTGGCCATCCAGTTTTCCTGTCACGTAGACACTACGTGTACTTACCATTTTACGCTTAGCTGTTGGGACTTTCACAATGGGGGTTGGTGGGCGTCCC